TCTGACACAATAATGAGCAGTTACAACAAAACCAACATATTCCCAAACATGTCGTCATAAGCTAACAAGAGATCCAGGCTTTACATAATGAAACAAACAAGAAGAAAGCAATATAAATCCCATTTTCTTCTTGTTTGAAAATAATGAAACACACTTATAGAAATTAAACTTTCATAACTGGACTGTTAACATTATAAATAGTAATGCTTGGGGGCAATCACAATAACCGATATACATTAGAAGTTATTTATTTAGAATCCAAGACAAAGTAATAGAGCAAAAGTCATCTTGCAGAAAAATATAAAGTGCATCAGGCAAAGATCAACAAAATGATGATTTTCAGTCAACAAGTACCTGTTCCCTCCTCCTCAATTCAGCTTCCTTAGCTTGCAGCTCCTTCTCTTTCTTTTTCAAATCCTAATTGGGACACAATAAAATTAGACATAACTACTGTTGAAAAACATAAGGTATTATATGATAGTTCTAAGGATTGGACCTACTGCAGCATTATCCAGAGGAATATCAATTGAGGCGGTACTGTTATAGAAATCAGCAGGCTCAGGTGGAAGAGGCGAAAGCCTTGAGTGTGTTGCTGCAGGGACACTGCCGGACTGAAATTCGAGAAAGATAGATGGCATTAATGAGTTTCTTTATTCCTTCGAAAGAGAAAAGGAAAACTATTTGAAGGAAAAAAAATTTTGTAACACATTATACGAGGTAATTGAATCAAGTATTAAAGAGAGACAGAGAGAGAGAGAGACGACGTCACCAGTCTTGTAGCAATACACAGAGAATGAAAAGAAAAAACTTAAAAGATAATTCATTCATCTAAATCATCTGCATGAACAAATGAGTTCACAACACTGGCAAAAGCACACCATTGAACTAGAAACCTTCCTCTAAAGCATTGAAGAACGTTAAATGTGATGCCAAAAGTATCCTTTTGATGTAAATAGACAAAGCCATGTTAGTATGATATATCAATACCACGTTTATCAAAAATTAGGATATAGTTCAAATGCACGACTATCATCCAGCCTACATCGCTCTAAAACATGGGGAATACAACATTTTAATTTAAAGCAAACTAAAAACTGGCCATTTTAACTATATGACAGGAAGAACTAAAGGCATAATGATGTACTTACTGTTGTATAAAAAGCTCCTCCACTAAACTTAGATTTCCCTCCATCCTGCCATAAATTCAAAAATAAAAGCAATTTAAAGAATCATAAATTTGAACATCTCTTCAAACTCAGTGCATCATATTGAATAACTATGCATAATATGTATGGTAAAGCTATTACTTAGAACTGCATAAATAGAATCAGAAAACATAGCCTCATCCTCAACAAATTACTGTAAGTTACTTTTCTAGATCAAATGCTGACTTTTCCAACTCTCAAAGGACTAAAACCATCTACGCCAATAATCTAAAATATCACACTTCTCTGAACTCCAGCATCAGAAATGTCACTCTACTGCATAAATTTTTTGGGTTGCCGCCCCAAGTACCGAAAGAATAGGAGTATACCAAATATCTAGATACATCAGAGTTGGGAAGGCCATCATTTTTCATCCTACCTATAATACTCCAACCTCAATCAGCAGGCCTCCAACAATAATCGATGGTTTGAGTACCAATAAGTCTTCCTGTCTGTCTGTCTCTCTCTCTCTTCCCCCCCCCCCCCCCCCAAAAAAAAAGTGAAAAATTAAAATAGAAGAAACCCCCAGCCACCCGCTTGAAACTTCTCGCAGATCAATAATTACCAAAGCGCTTATGATTTCAGCTCTAATTGCAGATCAATTTGTACAGCCAGTCAAACAAAAGTCAACCTAGTTAGAAGTACATAAATTCCACTTGAAAACAGGCAATCGACCGGGCAAAAACTCAGAAAATAAAAAAGTAATTATGAGAAACACTACTGTAACAGAATTCCAAATTTCAGGATAGAACCGCTCATGCTATCAACCGCCAAGAATCTTACAGCCCACAAAAACCTCAATAAATCTTCCCAACTCACGGCTAAGAAAGCACATAATACCCAAAGCCCGCATACCGACATACAGATTAACCACCGAGCAACCGAAAATTCAAGCATAATTACATAAAACGGGAAATTAGTACAAAATCAGACGGTAAAGTAAGAAGCAAACTTACAGCAAAGGGATTGACTTCTTCTTCTTCGTCAAAAGGGTTCCGATCATAACGGCCAGCCATTGCAGAGAGTTTGTTAACTATTGGGCTTACGGAGATCTGATAATAGTAGCACTAGAAGTATATTTTTAAAATTTATAATATATAAAAAAAAAAAAAAGAAAGCAAAAAGCAAAAAGCTTAGCAGGCAAGAAATTAAGGAGAAGAGTTTTGGAAGATTCAAAATATATGAGGTGTCTAAGCGCTGGAGAGATAGATGGAGAAGACCCTTTTGGCTTTTTTTACAACTAGTATTGAAGTTTACAATGTACTACTACTACTAGTACCAGATGTGAAATTGGGAAGAAAGCAAGAAAGGAAAAAGTTGAAAACGTAGAAAGCGAAAATGAAAGACTTGTCCTCCGCCCTTGGCCTGTTGGTCAGCCAATCCTGGAGTGCTTTTTTTGAATAATAATAATAAGACAAGACGACATTAGAAATTTGGCTAATGCCTATTTCTTCTCTGCCTTGTCCGATAAAATTACTGCCAACTGGAAAAGGAAAGCAGAACCGACCGCGTAAATTTTATATGGGGGAAAGAAATACTTTGCCACCGGAAATATTTTGATTCTAATTTTGTCTTGGTCTTGTTTCCTTTGCTTTTTTTTTTTTTTAAGAAAAATTTTCTACTTTTTCATAACTATTTCTTTTACGCGTTTTTCAATTACCTTTTTTTTTTTTTATGATACATCAAATCCTAAAAATGCTATAATAATACACATGGATATTACAATTTGAGAACATTGTCCTATAAAATTTTACCCAACTCGAGTAGTTCTTAGAGCCAATCTAGGTGCATTACTCAACAAGTACATTTGAGGCAAATAAACTTCCCATAATAACATTTCAAGCTCTTTCTTTTCATGTTCGATCCACTGATCCTAAACGCATTATAATTTTAAGATTTCCAAAATTTCTTACGAGTGAATACTTTCTTATAATCAATTTACTAGTTACCTGAAAAAAAAAAAAGATAAGATAATTACGTGACGATCTCAAAAAACAGCAAGTTATACTCGAAATATATTTTTGGATACGTTATTATGTCTACCAACTCTTCGGTATATTATGCTGTATTTTCATTGGAATGTAAAACTTCTACTGTGGCTGATCTAGTACTACAAAAACTGAAGTCCTGTTTGATAACTTAACTCAGCACTTAAATTTAATGAGTTCAGATTTTAATATATTTAATTGCGTTTGATAACAAAAAAAAAACAGAACATATGAATTAATTAAGTGATACTGAATCCTCTAAGTTAAATACTATTCATTTATCACTTAATGTGATATAAACTCAATCGTATCAAATTTAGTATTTAATAATTCAATAATTTAATGGATTCAGATTTCAGCTTTCTTTTATCAAACGCAGACTAAGTTGAATAATTCCATAAACCTGTCTTCCCGTTGAACTGCTTTTTACCATTTTTTTTTTCTTTTTTCGTTCTGATAACGAAGTGGTTAGATAGTTAAAAGTCGTGTTAATGAGTCTCTAAACGGGAGTCTCAACTGCTCCAATATGTGCCTACGAAATGATCATTTATTGATGATAGGTAGATGCCACAGAGTTCAGAAAATGGGTGGGATTAGCTATGTGAGTTTTGGGGTGAAGCTAGTCTTTATTGCATGTAGGAATCAATCTATTAAACAATAATGATATAGCAGTTGACATGATCTCCAAGTTGTTGTGTATTCAAGGGATCATTTCAGAACCCTCCCTCGAGTTTGGCTAATGTACATAGATAGATCATGCGTTAAGTATAGCCATGTCCAAAAGCAGCCTAATCTGAGTTTGGCTAATGGGTCTCTAGTGTTAGTTTTTTTTTTTTTAAAAAAAGTATAATTAATTTGAAAAAAAGTATCTAAATGTAGAAGTGCAATAATAATTATGATTGTGTATATTCACGTGATAAGTTAGGTTTAATTTTAGGTCTATTAACAAATATCGGTTAGGCATCCCGTTAAAATATTCAAAACTTTTAATATGGGGCAAATGAGTGTACCATTTGTTTAGCCTTGGCATTTTTAAGATGTAACATTTGCCACATTTGTTTTAGTTGAAAATTTGGGAACTAATCTAAAATTAGGGCTGTATCTCAACACACTAATTTTGGAATGGAACAGTCGAAAATCCAATTAAAAGGTAATCAATCTTTTTGAAACGAAATTTATTTTATTTTATTTCAAATTTTTGTCAAAATGCGTGGTCATGAAGAAACACTACTGTGATTGTTGATTCCAAAAAAAAAAATAAAAATGACACTATGTTTGACATAATGGTTACTAATTTACAATCCGACCAGTCAACGCAAAAGTCAGTGGCAGCCACAAAAAGATAGTTGAATTTTGACCGGCAAAGCGGAAGCCGGGGGGAGCACTTGGGTTTATCCTTAAATCACTTGTCAATTAGGCCTTTTGACCATATTTCCTGCGACATTATTCAGTGTCTGAATGCAATTATTCTTTTATATCTTCTGATTGCAGTTAATGTTCCTTCTCGTATCTCAAACGTCAAAACCATCTAGAAGGCCACAGTTTCCCCAAACCCTTTGCTTTCTCGACTAAAATTTGAGATCCAAATAGGTCCTGAGCCAACATATTCCGGGTTGGAAAAACTAGTCCTGCCTACTCCAGCATCTCAAGAATCCACGGGGTATTAGAGACACGTTGGGAAACAATTTGCATCCCAAAGCATTCATTGACAGATCAAGCAGACGGCAACAACATGGTCGATGTAACTGAAGACCGCCATCATTAACTGAGTCATGATTTTCCAATGGCATGATGGGGCTTTGACGTCATCAAATATGCATCAGATTTTACATATCCCATGACACAAAGGCCGTTTCATGAAGCATTAAACATGGAAGGGGAATTAGTGAGGAGAGGAAGATTAGGGATACCCCGAGTCATTTGTAACATTAGTGGAAACAAAAAAAAAAAATGAATTACAGGCACAAATAAATAATGGCACTATTGAAACAATGAATTAATGATGATGATCATTATAGCCTGCAGAGACTAAGAACTACAGTGTGTGAATCTGAGTGATCGGACAAACTAAGGCTACGCTTTATGATGCCGTCTTCTGCTGTATCGCCGCCGCCTTCTTTGGCTTCCTTTATATGGATCCACCCAGTATCTGTCCTCTTTAATGGCTCGCTCCCACCGATCTTCAAATGTCTGAAGCTCTGATGTTGATTGCCTCCTAACCTGCACAAGGTGCAAAAGAAGAATGATAGCGTTAGGGGGGCATGAATCTTTTATTCTATCGAAAAGCACTTCATGGTAATGTGTATGATCTTAAGGTCTTTTTCTCTAGACAGATCTACAAGGTTCAAGAGAAACAGGAATACAACTGATGAAAGCAGCACATCAGTGATCCAGTGCCTCACCTCAGATCGTACATCAACTTCATGCCTCTGAGATTAAAAAAAAAAGAACCGATGTGTAAATGCAAGATAAAGAAGCAAGGAACGAGGGACAAGATAAAGAAGCAACCATAAGATAAAGTCTATACCTTTGTTGACCCTCCAGCAATTGAGGTCTGCACAAAGATCAAACATTGTCAATGGATGTCAATGTTTTATTATCATTACCTTGTCATCAACTTGTTAAAAAGCACCGAGACAGAGGAGCATACATGGTAAGCAAATCAGGCACAGATCCAAGACCTGAAATCGTAAGCTCCTCCCGACCAAAAACCTAGCACTGAGTTGCGAGCAAAAACTAGGTGCACTACCAATATGTCAAAATTCTTCAATGCATATACAAGCAACTTCAGGATCAGGAAAAGTAATCTTTTGGTTCAGTGCCTTGGTTTTTCTGAAATAAGGCTTCTTGCAGCTATTGGCTTTATATAGCTTTGTTTCCCAAGTAATTGAAGATTTCTCTTCCTTAATACGTGACGAAGCAAAAATTATGTAAGCGTTAGAAGTTATTTAATGGAACCCTCGTATCCTTAGCAGCTACTTAATATTGACATTATATCTATTTCAACTGCTAGCTCAACCATCTGAAACTATCTGTCTTATCAAAGATACATAGGTGGGGGTAGGTTAATCAGCCCAACAGTGCTTTGAGAAACTAAGTTTTGAACAAGAGTCCCCTCACATGCAGGCCACGACTACATAGATGTGGGAGTTGGATTCATATATTTGGCATATTTCAATTATTCAGTCAACCACCTCCTCTGTACAGCAACCATAAGAGTGTGTTCACTTACTGGAGTTAGTAGCAACTGCTAGAGTGTTTTCACTTTTGTTGAAGTTAGTAGCAATATACAAAAAGGAAACTGCAAATCAGTCAAATAGCCAGCAACTTTGATGATAGATGGTGGCGAACTAAAGGCTTAATAATCGAGTGAAAACTTAAGTACAAGAATTATCCTAAAACATGCAGGCAGTTTAATTCCACTAGGTCATTATAAGGCTAACACTTAAAGCCTTGTGCCTCGTGGAATTTGATCTTTGATGGTATCTGTTTTTCTGTATGGTGGCTGGCTATTTTATAATTGAGGGCAGGTATGCAAATCTTCAGGGGCTATTTACCAAGAATTCATTTTTAGAAGAACGTCAAAAAATATTGTCCTTTTAATTCATTTTCCATAAAACGTGGAAATCGATTTCTCTAAAATCAACTTTCCAAAGCCCATTTTAAAGAAATCAACTTATCTAGGAGTCTCCATTCCTTACTTCCAAATTCTATTCCTTCTTCCTCCACCATAGTTGGCCAGTCTCATTACCTCAAACCCTCCGTTGTCTATTGTCATACTCATTATTGCAGCAGACTCTTTGTAAAGACAGGTGGATTGATAAACTACTGCATATGCTTGCACTAATGGGTGCAGGTTTTACCACCCTGATCCAGCTTTTTGGCTAATGCTGTATAAAACAATGGTCATTGAAATTGGGATTTGGTACAAAAAGGTAAGAAAAGAACCTGGAAATAATGGAGGTCATGCTAGACCCAGAAACATCAAGCGAAGACTTTGTCTTTGTAAAATTCTGAAGTGATTTTAAAGTTTAAATGGCCACATAGTATCTATATATTATTCATTCAGAGAGGATTTTGCAGTGGAACGAGTACCAAGCATCAAAGATCAGGAATCCGGAAAACAATGTGCCCCTCTTCTTCTTCTTCTCGCCACAGGGATATTGCAGTCTATCTTGTTTCATAAAACTTTTAAGGTCAAAATCCACTTCTCTGTTTTTAAACAAGGCTGAATTTTAACAGAAGTTGAGGCCGGGTTCTCCAAGATAGCCTCTAAGGTGATTTTTGCATAGATTAAAAAAAGGAAATATTTCTTTAATTGCGATTCAAAACCAAAATGTTAAAGGCATATAACCCAAATTACCAGAATCCAACAAAAACATTTTAAACATTTTAAGGAAAAATAAAAAGACAGAAAACTTAAAGCTTTTCATTAGCTGCAATTTAAACATCTAAGAAGTGAAATATCAATAATGAAGTAGCTTATCAAGGACCAAAACTTCCGCCCCCTAAACAGAATTAGAAAAGTTAGTGACTTAGTATTGATGTGAGCTGTAGCATGTAAAATGGTCGCATATGTGTAGCCATGCCATGAAATAACAACCTCGTACATTAAAAGAAAAGAGAAGGAAGTGAATAGGTAGATCACCTTTTTGGCAGATTTCCCTCCCAATGTCTGTATACTCTGATGAACTATATATTCACTATCAACCACTCCCACATTTTTCGTGCGGTCACCCTGTAAGAATGCAAACCGTCATCAGATCCCTAAGGAAACATGTCAACCAAACCCCATTACAGAGAGGATATCTCTCTCTCTCTCTCTCTCTCTCTCTCTCTCTCTCTCTCACACACACACACACACAAACACACACACACACACACTCTCTCTCTCTCTCTCTCTGGTGATAACTTTGCATAAAGATGCCATCATCCTGTAGCTTAAGCATTACAGCGACAGACTCAAACAAGCCACTTTGACTAGCCAGCACATCCAATTTTGCAGCAATAGAGAAGCAACACAAAAAAAACCAACTTCAACATTGTAAGAAGTGGCCATAATTTCCAATCCAAACAGGTAAGAAAAATTGGGAGTAACAGTAAAAAATGTTCTGCAGGTTTCATGTCCAGAAGAAACTGGATTCTTTTACATATTACATGGACATACACAAAAGTTCTTTTTAGTATAACAGTGCATATGTAATGAATAGATAAAAAGGAACATGAAGTTCATAACATTATCACGTCAAAACATTGTAGGATAACCCAATTTAATATCTCACCTGCGCACAATATCCCAGTTTCATGTCCATTCCCCATCCATGAACAAGATCACTCTGCAAAAAAAAATGCAATGAAGCAAAACTTTAGTAAATCGAAAGAAAAAACTAAAGTTTCAAAGCTTAATAAAAACGGCTTATATCATCCATCTCTGCTCACAATAGCAGCCAAAATGGGAAACCAGGAAAAATAAAAATAGGCCTAAGAAAAAGTAAAAGACACAGTAAAATTCCTAGTCACCTGTTTCAACACACAAATTACTCAAAGAATTATATGAACCTTGACAAGACAAACACAGACTCATAAATTGCTTAACATTAGGAGGACACAATCTAAAACAATCATTAGAATTAGTTCTTTTTCTCAACATGAAAAAAGGACAAAAAGCCACAGCCACAGCCACAAGTATAACATAATTCACATGCATACCAAGATAAATCATTAGATTCTCAACGACAGACTGCCACAAAGCTATGAATTACCGTGTCAAAATATGTTGAAGTAAAACCTATACCAAGCAGATGAATTTTTTAAAATATCTCACCTGTATTAGGTGCCAGGAACAATGCCACGCAGCTCTTGAAAAGACAGGAGCCATTCCTTCCACGAACCTGCAAAATTGAACCAATTAATTCAACTTCAACCTGAACAATTCGTAAAAACCTTCTTGATAGAAGCATACCAAATAAACCAATACACATTCGTACTCATAAATTAGTAAACAAGTGAGAATACTGGCTAATTGCAAGATAGCAATTGGTGAAGACAGCTAAAAAAATTACCCAGCACATGGTGGCCCATCACTTGCATCCGAACATTTCGTACTGCCTCTGGTTTCATAGACTCTTCTGCATTAAGTTAAAGCATTAGCACCTTTAAAGGCATCTACAAGGTGAATTTAGCATCATATCACAGCGATTATTGAACTCACTGGTGAAACTTCTTTGATCTCTGTCGTATTGTAATTCTATGATGTATACCAGTAGAATTAGGGTCTAAAGCTGGCTGAGATATTTCCAGTCCTTCTGCCTTTACAATCTCCAAGTATCTAAGAAGAAAAAAGAAATGCAAGTAAAAACCAACTCGATATACCTTTTTTAAGGTCACAGGCATTGCTCAAAGAACACCAAGAACATCATACAACTACAGCGCAGCCTAAATTTGAAAACAATGGATTCTCCCATCCCCTGCAATGCTATAATCCGAACTTTGCTGTATTACACATTTGAAGTCTTCACTCCAAAAATAGTTAATTAGAAACATCTAAGTAGAAGTCAAATGAATCTTATGCAGACTGAAGCAAGACCATAGTTCGCAGGAAGAGGAGAGGAGTTAAGCATTGCTCATCCCTATATGCAAGAAGCATATGTGGCACTGACAGAGAGGGAAAGCATTTAAAAATGTTTCCACAAACAAAAGTGATGGAAATTTTTAGTAAATAGAGTTTAAGAACCAAAGGAAAATGGGTCTAGTGATCCTAAAAGATAGGTGATAGATGCCCATTCTACAAAGAAAGCACAAAAGATGCTCGCCGGCTGTTTTTGTTTTCTTCCTCTCAGGATCAGAGGAAGGGGGGGAAAACACAAACCTCTCTTGGGATGCCCATTCTACAAAGAAAGCACAAAAGATACTGCATGAGTAACTACTGTACCTTCTTGGGCAGAAATGCTCCACCCCAAGATCTTCATCCCACAAGAATATGTAATCATAAGCAGATACAACAGCTGGGTGTAAGAAGCGCTTTGCAAACCACCTGAAATCCCATGAGATGCTTAACTGAGAACTACAAAAAAGAACTTTTATGCAAATTCTCCTTTGCTACATATTCTATATAAAAGACCATGGAATCAGAAATTCAAAGTTCAACCGGCAAAATATCAGGATCAAAAGAGCTTCTTTATTATTATTAGTACTACTACCACAACTACAACTACTACGACGACGCCAGGATTGGAAGAGGCAGTCTATCTATACCCTTAATCCGGAGATTTAATCCTATTCTTTTCAGCCTCTTCAAGTTTCTGTATACACCACAAGGTTGCACAAACTATAAATAGTGCTAATAAGTTGGACAGAGGAAGCCATTTAATGATCAACTAGGTCCAAGTCTCACTGAACTGATACGTAGATGTTATTTGAGGCAACACTGGAGGCATAAATCATCAGCAAGGTTTGGCATGAAAACTACAATCTTTGGTCCAGTAAATACCACAATTAACACTCAACAATTTCTAGCACTTAATGGGTAGAACAATTGTATCTCTTATTTGCTACAATGCTCTATTAGGAAACACTTCATTATGAGCATCCTCACCATTTGGTTTGGTTGAAGGCAACCATATGTATTGCCTTCTTACTCCATTCAAGGTTCCACCAACCATCCACATTGCCATCATAGTGGAAAAGAACAATTGTAAAATTCTCTGGAAGAAACTGAATACAAAAACATAAGTTAATAAATATATCCAGAGAGTTTAAACTTCTAGGAATCAAGCACCAACAAAATGTAATACCTTTTGTACGATTCTATCAACATTGTGCTTCTGCTTAATACCAACTGGAATAGCCAATAAGCACTGAGAACTGGGAGTATTGAGCTGCAAATATATAGGATGTTCAGCATAGAAAGAGCTTAAGCACATGAATAATGACCAGTTTATGATAAATCAAGCGGTCATAATTTAGAAGAAATAGGAAATACTGAATTATAGTTCAAGAATAATTACCTCTTTTCTTGAACTATCGCTTGACCATAGAGGCTTTAACTCTAGATCCGATCTGGCCTCAATGATGCCACGAGGTAATGCATTCAAACTCGTAGTAGGTATACCAGAATCCTAGAAAAAGCACCAAACAGATCTCATTAAGTTAATAAACTTCAAGGAAATTCCAACTGCTAATGCAATGATGCAACACAACCATCAAGTGCAAGCAACTGAAAAGAATTGCATGACGTATGCCAAAGTTTATACCTTTAGCATAAAAAAAGGCCTTAATCTTGACTCCATCTGATAAGGAAAGGGGAAACAGGGAGTGAGTAAGTGCACAGGAAAGGGAACATGAAAACTGAACACAGGTGGTCCTTAGCTGTAAAGATTCTATAGAAGTAAAACTGAGTTTACGACAAAACAAAGTATGTAATATTAGCATCCAGGTTGGTACAAAATATGCAATTTGAAATGAACAGGAGAGCAAGAAGTTGATCATTGCAACTCTTAATTCACATAAATTTTTCAATTAAATTTTTTATCCAGAACAGAGAATTAGAAATTGCAATATGATTAGGTTCACATAGGTTCATCCTCGAGCTTATAGCACCACCAAATTATGCTTGTGCTGTGGGTGGTTGCTTTGAATTATGGCAGTGATGGTTTAAACTCATTTAAGCCACCATCTCTACATACCTCTGTTTGTCGGTACTGATAATTGGTGGTCCTATACACCACGAACAACATTAATGTACAGATAACTACCATAAATGGCAGTGGTTTCATCTTTGCTCCACATGTTCCCTGCATCACCACTTCATTAGTTTAACACTTGTGATATTCTTACATAGTCATCAAAGCACAATGCTCAAGTAATCTGTAATCACATCTACCCAGCTTATGGTGAATTGAACAGAAGTGTATGGATCATAGAACCAACCCCATCAAATATAGCGAGCCTTTTTTTCAGCAGCCACCACCATGGTTTAGATGCCCTCATAGGCAACTATTACTTTTAAAGAATCTCATAACAAACTGCAAGAAATGCATATCAAGCTGAAGGATCAATGGAAGAAAATAGAAGCCAAAAAACACAGCACAACTTTTAACTCAGTTACAATAACTAAAGACATTCCATTCTCCTTCTACATCAAACGATTGCACTTCTCAAAACAATCAATCGCCCAAATTTGCAAGATGGTATATCACGTAAACTCAAACCCTTTAACACAGCTTACAGTCAAATTAGAACAATTAAGAACCACAAAGGGAGGAATGGCAATTCAAGAAATAACCAGAAACACATGAATAATGTCCTTAATTATTCCTCCCTACCTTTGCATGTCTTTATTTATTCAAGCTGCAAAAAGAGCCCAAAATTATCCAAATTTGCATCTAAATTTCTTTCCAAGCCTACAATGTGTTTCAATGTTCACGAGGCAATTCTAGTCAAACTGTTTGCAAGACAACTTTGTTCTGCAGGCTGAACAACAAGCTCGCATGGACGTTTGAAAGGGGGGAGGGCAGAAATACATTACCCCGGGCATTATCTTTACCACTTACCAAGAGGCAGCAAAAATGTTCCAAACTGTTCAGCCTAAATGGATGTTCAAGTGTATTGATCTCAAAGATCAAAACGTGGCAGGGACATAATCAATTGACTATCTTCTCTTGTTTTTAATCTTGTGTTTTATTGCTTAAGTTTTCAACTTTCGTCGGACCGCTTCCAATTTTGCTATTTCAATTGAAAAAAAAAAACCTTCAAATAACAAAGATATATATTTGCCCTTTTATTATTTGCCTCCTACACGGCTAATAAAATAAGATGATACTACTACCACGGAGGAGGAGGAGGAGGGGGGGGGGGGGGGGGGACTAGTATTAAGCAGGGAAAAGAAAAATGAACACGTAGCACAAACGCAGCAAAAATGAAGCGTTTAAATTCAATATTAAGCCATCTTTCTATGAAGACGTTTAATAAATTTGAGTGATCAGTATATAACACATTTGTAGCTAGCTTCCAGTAAAGGAAGCACCAAGTAGATGATGGAAAACATTTCATTAAAAAGATAAACACTAAAAAGAGATAAAACCTTTCATTTCCCACTTGATAAGAAACTAAAAAAGGAGATAGCTTTAATCTCTCCCCCCCCCCCCCCCACCCTTAAATTAATCCATGGATCTCAACTTAATCAACATTTCCATCCCAATATCAGAAACACGCCATGGCAAAGGGGAAAAAAAGAATCACAGAAGAAAATAATCCAACAAAAATAGCGAATAAATACCTTTAAAAAAAAGGAAGAAGAATGGAATTGGTCGAGCAAGAAAACGCGCGATCCACACGTGACTAGTTCTGCACCACCGTGTCAGTGAATCCCTTCTCCCCTTTTTAACTTTTTTCAGCTGGAAAACCGAAGAAGCTCCTCCTCTTCCTCCTCCTCCGATGGCCGGCAAAAGCCAGATTGCAACAATTCAACTGGATTAACACTCAGTCGCACTAGTGAGTGTATTTTAGTGTACTTGTAATTGAGAGACTTAAAAATGACTAAATTTAAGTTTCACTATTAATTAAAGTTAAGTAGAACTGGCTTTTTTCTACCTCAAAAAAAATTGTTAAACAAAAGGGAATAAATATGGTGTTAAAGTACGTAGACAAAGAACGAGAAGGAAGAAAAAAAAGGGGGAGGAGGAAAGAGTAAAAGGAGGACGAGGGGCTGGAGAAGGAATCGCCACCTTTTAAGCGGGAAGTATTCAGTAAGAGAAGCAAACAAAAAAAGAAAAGAAAACAGAATATTATGTGTCAGCACATTCGTTAGTGTGTGAGTGTGTGTGTTTCGTCGCCGACGAGGATCTCTCCGATCTCAATCTTACTACTGTCGACGTAAGCAAAGAAAACTGGTCGTCGTACTAGAAAACGAACGAGTAAAGGGGCATTAATTTATCTGTTTGGATGGACTGTTATTTGAAATGTTATTATTTAAAATAATTATTATAATATTTTTTATAATATTATATATATATAATAAAAAAATTAAATATATAAAAATAAATTAAAAAATATATTTATAATACAAGTAAAATATTATTAATAATAGAATTTAGAGCCACGGGCAGAGAGGGCACCGGTCCACCATGCCGTTGCCTAATTGCACCCTCCCCCGGATAATATGTATATCTACGTTCTTTAATAGACGGATAATAATACTATAGTATAATAATGCATACGTTTTATTTGACTACTTTTCTCTGTTATAATACATTATTATAATACCGAGTGATATAATACAGTACAATGTACCACGGTCGGGTACACGTAGCTAAGCTAACCTTAATTTTTGTTTAGTACTATGCGGTTTGCAGGTACATTTAGCGTTGTACTACTATATTATTATTAGAACCCGTTTGATTGCTATTTTTTGATATTTTTATAGAAAGATGTATTGTAATGATTTGATATATGTAAGGTAAAAAATAATTAAATATTATATTTACGAAAAACTTAAAAATTCTTTTAAAAAATGGCAATCCAAATTATTTTTAACAAGATCAGTGCATTTCCCTTTTTATTTTGGTTATTGTGGTGGTGATTCAGTAATAATTTTCGTGCGGTCAGTTTCATAGTAGAAGCTTGTTCTTCATGGAACATGCACGGAACGAAAAAATAATAATAATAACAGAGAGGAGGAAAAGAGAATATCCGAAGAGTGCTTATTACAAAGCTTAAGAATGTAATAATTTTTAATGTAATTTTCAGAAAATTGTTTTTTCTACTTTGCTTGCCCGGGATAAGCATGCAAAGTTGAGGTACTCTTTATTTGGATTGTGATTTTTTCCAAAAAAAAATATTTATATTTTTCGTGAACATATTTTTTAATGACATTTTTAACTTACATACATCTAGTCGTTAAACTAAGGCCATGCTTGGATTGCTTGTTTCCGTCAGAAAATATTATCGTTTTCCGTTATCACATTTCCCTATCACCTTTTTCCCTCACATATATCAAATCGCTACAGTTAAACACCAGATCCACCTACCCTTTTCGAATTTGACTGATACTAGCAACTAAACTTTTCAAATATGTGTATGTTGCAGTAGTTTATAGTTATAGCAAGTCGTTTTGGTAGAGATGTTTAGTAGTTGCGGTTTTGTGTACGTGTCTCTTTAGAACTCTTCAAAGAATTAAAATCTATCGTTTTATCCATCGTCTGTAGATTAGTATAATTGGGTCTGTTTCTTTATCCTGGAGACAAGGGAGTTGGGGGTGAAGCCAGTAACGACCAATCAGAAAACAGTTCATTATCAATATCGCATCTTAGGACTTGGGAGCTTAGTTTACAGAGGGCGCAAGGATCACCTCAGAATCACAAAGTGACGACTTAACCGGGCTTTGTAGATACTGAGGGGGTCATGTTCTTGAGTGAATTTCAAGCCATTGGAGATATTTTGGGTTCGAGGCACTAAGATGTTTGTTGAATTCCAAATATGTTGAAGCATATTTTTGTTTGACAGATAATATGTGCACTTCATTTTAATATTTTATTACCTGAAGGAAAGTCGAGATCCAAGTGATAATTCTAGTTTCTGGAATGTACTATATTTTTTGTTACATGCACTCTTACCATTTGGTTTATGATATAGTGTAATAAATAAGTACTATATGATTAAAATGATAGTGGAAATGTGATCACAAAAAATGGGAGTGCAAATAATATTTTACGATGTGATTATCACGTGTCTTTTTGTTTTAGGGTTAATGACACTCTGCCCTCCTAAACAAAAATGGTATACACTTTGGCCCCTACCTTAGTAAGTGTTAGGCCTTCAAAACATATAATTTTTTTTTCTCAACTTTGTGCTTAGTATTATTCACACTTTGTTCCTCTATTCAACCAAAGAAATAAGGATTAATCTTATACATATTATCAGTGTATATACTATATCACGGTTAGATATATGACACATGTGCAAAATTTGAATTTAAAATAAAAAATTTGCTCATGCCTCATCCAAATTTGCTCATGCATTATTCATTCAACCATGATAGTGTATACACTGACAGTGTATATAAAATTTACTTAAAAATAAACATACACTTTGCTTTAATAATTAGTAATTCTTTATATAATATATTGAATCAGTCAAAAAGTTATAATATAATTTTAATATTTAAAACTAACATACTTTCTACTAAAACATTATTGATGAAAAAATATCATATATATAATAGTTCTTCAAAATAAACTTTGTATAAGATAATGTTCAATACAAGTTTAAAGATAAAAAATAACAATTACATGCTTTTACTTAATTAACCCAGAAGATATAAATATGTTTTCAAATTACAATATTTGCTCCAAGAATAAGAAATGGTATACGTATTTTATTTTCATATATTTTGAGGATCTAACAATTACTAGGATACTTTTTGGTAAAGCGTATACTTTTTGGTTTAGGTGGCCAAAGTGGGACTTCGCTATGGTTCCCGTGGGGTGTGGGGGATGGGGGGCAAAGTGTTGTTTGACCTTCGTTTCGTTTAGTACATTAGTGATTGAGCCTTTGTGTCATCAACCAAAGGAAAAAAAAAAAAGTACGTCAAGGTTGTTATATTATCAAATTGCTTCTAGAAACAATTAATACGTATAAGAATACGTTATTCATAATTTACGTATTCTTGTTATAGTCTGAAGTTTAGTTAGGTTTCTGTTTTTATTTAAAATAGATATACATCTTTTTTGGTTCGACTAAAATAAGACATTTTTCTTTTTTCTTTTTTTAATGCAATAAAAGATTGGAAAACTTGAAAGATACTCGGTAACCCCACCACCCCAATCGAGCTTTTGTGCTAAACAAAACAAATTTAGAGTTCAGCTTCCAGTGGTGGCTGCCCAAATTGATAAGAGTAAACTTTAGCAACAGCACCTTTTAGGGGCCATTACACGGTTTAGGTTAATTACACCAATAATTGTGGGATGATAGGCTTTTGACGCAATATGGACAGCAAACGTAAAAAGCACAAGGGACTCCATTAGTGGGACTCCATTAGGCTAATCCACTTAATTCAGCAGAAACCAACCGTAGTTACTCCGGTAGGGGACAGTGAATATACAGATTCAACTAGATTAAGAGAGTACTATGACATAATGCTTAGATTTTTTTCACTGCAGGTGAGATTTGAATCATCGTTTACAGTCCAAGGAGGGGCTTAAGCATTTTCAGGTGGCTACCGAGCCATTGATCCAGTGGTTCATCGCCTGTTCAGTCACGGCACAGCACATTGGAGTATTTGCACATACACCGATAATTTTTTTCTTTCACATTGGAATATTTGTTTCTTTAACATTTGTGAAAGAAACATACACCGATAATTAATGCGCTAAAAATCAGGTTGGTCTTATAGGAGCAATGATTATCATTATTAGGCTATGTTAGGTTTGCGGACCAATTGCAGAGAAGGTCCCTTCAAGCCAAATCCAGGGTCTGCTCATCAAATCATGATGGTACCAAACCATTTATGAGATTGAGATGTTTTTTATTTAAATTTGAATTAAATTTCTGGGGCCTACTTCAAAAGGAAGTCATGGTTAGCTTTGTGATCATACCCGACCAAAGCCAGCGGAAAATTTGTCTAGTACATACACAATTAAACGTCCTAAAATTATAAATCCCATCAGATTTTGGTATTAATATAAAAATCAAACAAAGTATGTGAATTCTATCAACTCATTTGTCTTCTGCTTTCTTTTGCCTCTAATTAATATCTCACTTTCTTTAATCCTTTTACTTCTTTTTTTTCTTTCCATTAAAACAAGGGGTTGTCTGACCAGAACATTATTGACGGCAGGAAACTAGGAAAGATAAATAAAGCCGAAGTCACTACTAAGAGCGACGCAGAAAAGATGATCATGTCGACCGTGTGAGCAACCGATCTCTTAGACCGGCATTAACTTGAAAAGATTGAAGGAACCAGAGCCCTTGATCGCATGGCGTAGTAATAAATCCATCTCATCTGTAGATCTCGCATTTGAAGTCCAAAGTATACCTAGAACGAACAAGATGTCCACATAAATCCTGTGAAATGCCCACGTCTACGACCGAAGCTTCGTTGCGAGTGCATCTACGATCGTGATCTTGTTAAACCTTGTGACTTTCGGGCATACTTTTTAGCTGCTTGTTTGCATGCGGCTGCTTAGATCACATAGCAGCAATTGGCAAAAAACAAATGGACTCCGACAAAAATCCCCAGTTGGCACAAGGGATGAGGCCAACCTAAAAAGCATTTCTTTTGCTGGGCAAAATCTACACGAAGGGGTTTTCGGCTGACCATATGTATACGTTACACGTATAAATTCACTTGAGGGATTTTTTTTTTTGTGTTGGGATGTAAACCCTTTAGCATCCGATGGCCTTGCATTGGATTTCGACTAATTTTGGAATCAAGTACTGTTGGATCCCTTTTGGGGTGACTCTCCCACCAACGTTATTTTCTCTATCTACAAGATTTGAATATAATAATAATATTATCTTGACTAAACGCTGTCAAACTCTTTGTTACTCGGCCGGCAACCGTTGGTATCCATTAGAGGGACATGTTATGAGAAAATTTTTCCATTTGTTTTGTCAGATAAACTCATTTTATATGTATATATATTTTGCTGTCCATCATCATCCATAAGGGATTAAGGCCTTATTTGCCAAGCAAATTTTTTGCCAAGTTTGTCTACAAACAAGTTTTTTAACAACTTTAGTTATAGTAATCTCAAAAAATTTCTCAAAAATTTTAAACTACACAGTTCAAAATATCCAAAAATTTACACATTTAAATTTTTTTTTTTTAACTTTTACAGTAAAATTTTAGACAAATACCCAAAAAAACTCACTTGCGAGCGGGCCTAAATTT